CTCCGCGGGCAGCGGCCACACCGCGGGAGGACGGGGTCCTCGCCGCAGACGGCCTCCGCCGGCAGCCCCTGACCGACAGGCTGCTGCCCCCTGCTGGCAGAGCGGGGCGGGGCCGGCGGCGGGGAGGACAGCGTCCTCGCCTCTCCGCCTCGGGGAAGGCCTGGCTCGCGGAGACGGGGTCCCTGCACCGCAGGCGGCGTGCGTGGCCGCCAGACTCTGCCCCGCACTTGGTGAGTCTGTGGGGACAGTGGCGCGCTCTGGCAGGGACTCGGGAAGGCACCAGGCCCGGCGCCAGAGTCCGTGCCACGCACAGCACAGCCAGGAGCGGCTGCATGGAGTTCGGCCAGCCCCAGGGAGGGATGGGCGCCTTCTCCTCCACACACCGGCCCCCTTGGCCGCTGGATCCGAGGGGAGGCCAGGGCAGGGCTGGCATCCCTGCCCCTGCTCGTGCCCACGCGCGCTCCCGGCAGGACAGCATTCGTGCGGAGAACACCGCTGCGGGTACGCACCGTGCCGGTCTCTCCCACGGACATGCGTGCCTGCGCCGGGGAAGACTGCCCGCAGGCCCACGAGCGCCCCTTTTCTGCGGAGGTCAGCAGGCAGCTCAGACATCACGAGAGCGGCCGACTGTAGCACCAGCTCAGTCTCGTCTGATTTACCGCATTTCTCATTGGTAACACGCAACGTTCAACCACTGCTCTTCCGGGGATACCAGACAGACGTCAGGTCAAACAGGGCCGGGACCAGAGGCTAAATGCTTGCCCGACTGCGCACGTGGCAGGATGCGGACGGCTCCAAAGGCCCGGCCAGCGCTTCTAAAAACTCACAGGGGATGCGTTTGGTCACCACGAGGTAACAGACTACATTTTCCTGCCTTCAGCAAAAATTTGGGCAAAATATATGAAACTATAGTTGTCATGCCAAACTACAGGCAGTGTGGGAGTTTCCACCCCACACAGGGAGAGGAAAACCAGCGCCCAAGGAAGCCAGGTGGCCCGGCTGGCAGGAGAGCAGGGGCTGCCTGGAGAAGGCGTGGGGTCGCCAGAGGGAGTCCCCTTGAGTCTCCGCACATGCGCACGAGGAGGCAGCTGCCCCTGAGGCAAGAAAAGTCACACCGGGACTGGAATAGTTCTAGTTCCCACCAATCACAGAGGAAAAATCTTAAAACACACAGAGCACCAGAGACTAATTAGAACAGTATTGCTTCAGTACTTGGGCAAAATTATAAAAGATATGCAGGGGTCACCCAGCAATACCTAAAAGCAAAACAAGATCAGCCAGGCACAGGGGCACACCTCTGACCTCAGGAAGGCTGACACAGGACGACAGCAAGTTTGAGCCCAGCCTGGGCAATGTACCAACTTAGTAAGACCCTGTCTCAAAAAAAAAAAAAAAAAAAAAAAAAAAAAAAAAAGACATAGTTCAAGGCCAGCCTCCCGAACTACATGGTGAGACCCTGTATCCCACAAAAAAATTATGGCAAAGATTGAAGTTTCTAAAATTCTTGTGTGAAATTCACAAATGTTACCTAGAAAACTTTTAAAGAACAAAAATTTAAAGAGAATTCTGCCTTGGTTACTTTTCTCTTGTTGCTGAGACGAAATACCTGATGCCCATAATTAAGGAAGAAAAGGTTTATTTAGCTCAGTTTGTGGAGGTTTCAGTCCATACTCAGCTGGTTCTCATGCAAGGTGGCACATGGCAGAGGACAACTGTTCATGTAGGCAAACACAGCAAAAGCAGCAAGAGCAAAAGGGAGGAGTGGAAAGAGCAAGCATCTTTGCTTCCCTTACATTGTATGCAGGCTTCCCGCCCCAGGGAGGGTGTAGCACTCACACCCATAATCCCAGTGTTGGACCATGGATCAATCACAGACTCTAGAGGCCGCCCCATGACTGCTTTGGGGGGACACCCAGACACAAATCGTAACAATATTTCGTTATGTTCCACTGTTATGGGCATTCCAAAAATGGATCACCAGGCATTTAAGGGTTAAAAAGGGCTGGGGAAATAGCTCAATGTGAAGGCCCTGGGTTCAATTCCCAGTATCCTCCTCCTTCAAATCGTATGATTCCCAGGTAAAAACCACATCCTGTAACACCTTAAAACATACACACACACCAAAGCATCCAAGAACCGTGAGGTTACTTGTGTTTACTTTCTTTTGCCATACCTGAAAAATATCAACTCAGGAGGCTGAGGCAGGAGGACTGAACACAGAAAGACTATCTCAAAATAAAAAGGGTTGGGATGTAGGAGAGCAATCTATAAACCCACAGAGAGCTCTCAATTACAAAGGAAAGACAGTGAGTGCACAGCGCAGGCGCCTGGCCGAGGAGCTCTTACGGGGTGGGAGCGGGGGTGATGCTGCACATATCTGCAGAGGGGTACTGAGGAGGACACAGGGCTTCTGGGAACTCTCAGCAGGAAATGGGGAGCAAGCACCAGGCAGGCCCCAATTCAAAGGCCTTCTACCAAATAACAAAACAGCATCCCATCAAGTATAAAGGTCATGAAACTCAAGAAAATGCTCAGGAACCTTCTCAGCCTGAGGGGGAAGCGGAAACACTCTCCGGGTGCAGTGAGGGCACCGAGCGGGACTCTGGAGCAGAAGAGCAGCGGGGCCTGGGAGACTGAAGAGATCTCTAGTTAGGAGTGCGGCGCCGATGCCGCTCCTTGGTTTCCTGATACTGGACCGCGGTTCTGTGACTCTGGGGAGCAGCGTGAGGGGCATACCTACAGGCTCTCTGCAGCTTCTTTAAAGGCCCAAGTGGTCAACAGATACAAACTGCCTGCCATTTCCCCACTTCCTAACCTGTATCAAGACTGCGTGCGCACAGGAGGGGAGACCTTTAAGCCTGAAGCATGAATGGTGCTGGAAGCCTTTCACAGTGGAGCTGTGGCCTTTGCACGTCCGTGCTGTGTTCTGTATGCACGTCTGTGTGCATGCATGTGCTAACACCATGAGAGTCTGTGGGCACAGTCTCCCTGCATATTATCAGACGCAGGAAATGCCTCCTACTCACTCAGCATCTCCCTGGAGATGACCTCCTGTTCCCTGGCATCCCTTTGCTCTGTGATGCCCACAGAGCCTGAGTGTGAGTCAAGCCTGCCTCATCAGCCTTTTCCTGGGATCTTACTGTACTTATAAGGAAAGCAAACTTGTGCCCTAGGACTGTGAATTCTAAGAACTGCATGATTACACAGCTAGAACTGCTGGTGGCCTTCTTGTGGAGAGACGGATGCTATGCCTGAATTCATGTCCGGAGTTTTCAATTATGTGCACTCATTTTCAGTTTTTTTGTGCTCTGACAACTTTGAGTTATATTTCTAACATTTGTAATGAAGTGTTCCCTGCCTTCCACACTGACCTATACCCTACCTTACTCTTAGAAATACTGAGGCAAGTTACATTCATAGAACAGAAGCAAAAATAAGAAAGAATACAGTAAAACAAGACTATTACAATAAAGCAAAGAGGAAATGACTACCCCAAAAGATGCACCACACAGCCCGACGACAATCCTGGTGCCGGCAGCAAACCCTGGCTGCACACTTGTGACCAGTACGATGGCAGATGCTGTGCTCTGTCCCTGTGAGGGCAGGTACTTCTCATTTCCATTTTACAGACCAGGCTACCAAAGCACAGAGAAACTGCTCCTTGCCCAAGACTATCACAGCGAACGAAGTTAGAGTAGGAATCTGAAACCAAAAGCCACTTTAGAGCCTGCATTCTTAAGTAATGTACTATTAATCAATTACACGTCTGGCTTTCAGCTTTCTGGAAGCAAAAGCATAATATATGTTAATATCCATGATATAAATAACAGACACTGATCTATCAACCCTTTTCCTGGGATCTTATCAAGTGTGTATCAAGGATCTGCACTGGAAAGGCCCAAAGGTCAGTGGTGGAAGCTGGAAAGTCTGTGCCAGTGGGATGAAGGATCTACACCAGCAGGCTAAGGGACCTGCACTGGAGCCAGGAAGCGACGCTCAATGTAAGGACCAGCTCCCCCGAAGAGAACTCAGCAACAATGAGGACCTGCAATCCTCCAAAGATGAGAACAGCCAAGTTCCTATCAGGAAAGCCAGCACAAGCTTCTCCAGGAGAATCAACAATGCACCACTTTCCCCTCCAGCTCGGCTTTTGTGCCGTGGGCAACAATCCTCAGGTGGGCCTTCTGCACGAAGCACCGCGTTCAGTTCAGCTGGGTGTTCCACGCTGACCATTAGCTGATCCACCAGTAAGGTTCACATATATTTGATAATAAGTAATAATGGTCAGTAGTGAAAATCTAGTACTTAAAGCCAATATATAAAAATACTGACTGAAAAAAATATTGGCTGAGAACTACCACTTTAAAAAGAAACTACCTGTTATACTGAGCATCTCAGTCACACATATTTCTTCAGAAATTAAGACTGACACCAGGCAGAGCCCATCTGGAACTCTGTCTCATTTTAAAAAAATATTCATTTTTCTTGATGATGTACAACATTCCAGATTTCTGGTTATCTGTAAACACAATTATCAATGTACCCTAGGTGATACAGCTTAGTGTTCTTTGGTGTTCTAGCACTATGGTGTGAAAGAAAAGTGATTTTGAGCAGGAATGTGAGTACATTAAAATTACCTGAAATTTTGCTTGTGAAGATATTTGGAAACTTGGACAATTTGACCAGTCTTTAAAAATTCTACAAGAATTTTATATAATATCACATTAAGAGCATAAAATAAACATTGCTTTTTCAATTGCAGTTCTAAAAGATTAACGCACAATAACTCAAGTTGTCTACATCTGACTTGAGAAGTGTAAAGGTAGCTATCCATTTACAGGCAGTAGTTGGAAGCCCTCTCATTTGTAGAGGTTGCTGGATCCTTTCGTTCTTGGGAAAGAACTTTATTATTTTGAAAAACTTGAAATTTATAGTTTCAAATTATCTTTTCCATATTTTCCCACAATCAAATGTAGTAATTTTGTCTCTTATGTTTTCTATTGTTTTAGCTTCTTTTTTATACTTTTTTTGATGCAGGATCTTTGTACTTCAGGCCAGCCTCGAACTCACTATGTAGCCCAGGGTGGCCTCGAACCCGTGGTGATCATCCTGCCTCAGCCCCCCAAGTTCTGGGATTACAGGCGTGTGCCACCAGTGTTTTACTGCATGTTTATGATACACAATAATTACACTCGCCTTGGGGAACTGGTATACACCTGAAACCATTTTTACTACCCCTTCCCCTCCTCTCCCATCTCCCGTCCTCAGATCCCCTTCCTGTCTCCACAAAGCCTCTTTCCCAGATCTTTTGCTCTCTACAGCTTGGGTTTCTCATAGAAGAGAAGCCATGCGACCTTTAGCCTTTGTGTCTGATTTACCTCACTAAGCATTGTGGTATCAAGATGCATCCATTTTCCTGGAAATTACTCAACTTTAGCCTGCAGTGATTTACAATGACCCGTTAGATTCTCCTTCACCAAGGGGCACTTCTCACGACTTCCAATACTGGCTTTCCACAGGCAGTTACGTGATCTACTGGTTCTGACACCCATAAAGCCTCACACTTCTGACTTACACTTTCCTCTCCTCTTCCCTCTCTTGTCTTTGTCCCTCACAGTCAAACCTCTCCTCCCACTCCTGTCGAGCATAAAAATACCATCAACATTTATTTTTTTGTCATCTCATTTTATTTTACTCCCCTTTGCCTTTTTCTTGTTTCTCAGCCTATTCTTCACCACTACTATTCCTTCATCTTACTGGATTGTTCAAAGAGTTTTGAACTCTTAAAACAAGCTTTCAATGAGGACTGACACGTGACTCCTTCTCTGGATACTGTTAGTACTGACACTAGCTCTGCCCTCAGAGGGCAGCGCTGAGGACTAACCCCGAGCCTAGAGCATGCACACTGCATGGCCCCCCAGCCCCGGGCACCGGGGAGAAGCCGCTTACTGAAGAGAGGTCTACTCCAGCCACACAGCTTTCACTACAACTCATCTACAGATGGCAACACACGAAGTGTGAGAAAAAAAGGTGACAAGACTCCCCCAAATTCTAAACTCCCCCAAAGCTGGTTTTACAGGCACTGAAGTGGATCAATTTCTAAAGAATTTAAGAAATAGCTAAACTAACTGAAGAGACCAAAGAGCTGTACTGAAGGAATTACTATAATGGTCAATGAATTTAGAGGTCTTTATTTTTCCACTCACTGTGAAGAACAATGTTGCAGGATACAGCACTCTGGCTTTGCAAGTATTTCCCTTTAGAGCTGGAAAAACTTACTCTAAGCTCTCCTGGCCTTTAAGATTTGTGTCGAGAAACTGACTGTTATTCTGATATGTCTGCCTTTGTAAGATGTTTGATGTTTTCTCTAACAGCTTTTAGTATTTTCTCTTTGTTCTGAATTTCCAGGATTTTGACCATGATGTGTACAGAAGTTCTTTTGTGGTCATGTTTATCTGGGGTTCTAAATGTCTCCTTTACCTGGGTATCCATTTTACTCCCTAGATTTGGAACATTTCCTGAAATTTCAGTGAGTGAATTTGTATACCATTGAATTTTTACTCTAATTCCTATTCAATACAGCACTCAAAACTTTAGCCAGAATGACCAGGAAAGAAATATAAAATGGACAAGAATAGGAAAGGGAGACATGGCAATTCCTCAAAAAACTAAAAATTGAAATTGTATTAGACAAGATAGGGCACGCTCAGCATGGTGTGGTTGTGGAGGTGAAATTCCACTGCACTGAGCCGTACCTCTTTCTGGGCATATTCCCAAAAGAGTTAAAGACGTTACACAGTGCTTACTGCTACATGTATAATCATGTTTACAGCCAGCAACTCACAATGGCTGAGCTTCGGAAACAGCCTAAATGACTATAGCAGACTATAATGTCATGTGAAATAAGTTAATACAAAGTTAAATACTGCATGGTTTCTCTCATGAGAAATTCAACATATAAATTAATCAAAGAGTAAAATAAAGGAGAAACTGTGGGAAACAAGGAGGCAAGCTTTTTGAAGGAGATGGGAAAGTCAGTCAGAGGCATGGTTGGGGGAACAGGGGAGTAAAGGGCCTCACAATGATTAAGAAAAAGTATGTATTATCATATATCAATTTTCTAAAACAAATGGAACTATCACATATCACAAACACAGTAGCTTTAAAAATACCACTGCACTTGCAGAAAGTATTTTATTTATAGTGAAACTAAAGAGTAACTGCCTTTATTATGTATCAGTATACCAAACATAAATGGTGAACTGGTAGCTTTTTTCACCTTTTAGATAGAGATAACGATGACATTCATCATAGGAAATCTGTACGTGATATATCTTACTGCTTCTTTTTCCTTCTCCTCCCCTCCCTTCAACCCCTGTTGCCCTCATTTACAAAAGCTGTTTTGCTTTTTTCCTTTTTTTCTTTCTTGTCCCTTCATCCCTTTCCCCCTCCCCCCTTCCTGGTCCCCCTTCCCATTTCCCAGCATCTAGTATACATTTCAGCTCTTCTTTAACTTTTGGTTTCTCACACTGGCATTTACGCATGTCTGTCCAATTTGTTTCACTTAAGAGTATGATCTCAAGGTGCATCCATTTAGCTAAACCCTTACCTTTCCTCATGGCAGGGTAGTATTCAGTTGTATGAAGATCCCACATCCTCTTTATCCATTCATTGGTTGATGGGCATTTGGGCTGTTTCCAAGATTTAGCTATTACAAACTATGCCACTATAAACATAGGTGTGCATATATTGCTGTGATATATGCTCTTAATTCTTTCAGGAAGATACAAGAAGGGGAAATGGCTGAGTCAAACAGAACCTCGAGTTTTAGTGTTTTGAGGAATCTTCCCATTAGTTTCCACAGTAGTTGCACCAGTCTACACTCCCACCAACAGTGGAGAAGGGTTCCTTTTTCCCCCACAGCTCTGCCAGCATTTGTAATTGGTTGATTTCTTGATAATAGCCTTCTTTCTGGTGCGAGATGGACTCTCAGTGTTGTTCTTTTTTTTTTGGTACCGAGCATCGAACTCAGGACCTTGTGTTTGCCAGGCAGGCGCTTGTGCCGCTGAGCTACATCCCCGGCCCCTCAGTGTTGTTCTAAACGGGTAATTTTTAATCAAAGGACACCAAAGTAAAGATTGTGGCCTAAACACTTTGAAACACTTGGAAAATGAAAATCATCCTTAAATATTAATCTTCCTATTAATAAAAATATAACTTTCAACAGTAAGTTTGTTACTTTAAAAAAGTAAGCAATTAAAGTTTATACTCTTATTTTGCTATTACACAGGGCATCAAATTAGTCTTTGAAAGTTGTTTAAATTTACACTCTGACCTAATACAACAGAATTTATCACAAAAGAAATGCAAGTAATATGGTGATAATTTAAATTTCAGTACAGTCTTTCACCAAACTACCCACAAGCTGATTCGCCATTCCCTGTAAGAACACATCTGACTGTTTTATACTAAAGTCGTAAAGCATAAAAATGCATTAAATGTATCACAGCAATAATTTTGTTTATTTGCTTTATGTGGCACTGGAAATTTAACCAATGGCCCTTGCACTGAGCTCGATCTCCAGCTCTTTTTTATTTTCTGAGACAGGGTCTCACTAAGTTGCTAAATTGCCTGGGCTGGACTCCAACTTTCTATCTTTTTGTCTCAGCTCCCAAGTACTGGCATTATAAGCACGTGTCACCACACCCAGCCAATTTACATATCTATAGTGCTTAAAAATATAAATGTTCTAAAATGTATGTCTATAGATTTAATTTAGTTTATTTGCCTGTTATCCTATGGTCCAATGTAAGGCTATTAAATAAAAACTGGAACAGAGCTGTGAATTTCAGATTAGGTATGGAAACCATTTAATGAACTGTGAAACCATAACAACAAACCTCCTGGCCAATATATTTTTAAAAATTTACTTAACAAAGAATTTTTTTAAATAGACATGACAAATTTTTTTTCTAGTTCAAAATATGCAGCTTGAAGTCCTTAAACAAATTTGAAATAAAGTTTATAAACCCATTAAATTGTACTGTAATTTTTATGTAGAGATTTTATTATATACATGTGTTGCTAGATTTTAGGAGAGCTATAAAGCGGAATAATTAACAGTAAGTCCTCCTATAGAATCTACTTAATTATATCAATCTTGCTTTACCACAACTTCTTCTTATGTGCTGCAGAACATTTTCCGGAGATGGACACTCATTCTTTCCAAGGAAACTTTATAGGGTCAAGAACAGAAGGCAGAAATTGACGTTAAAATGTGTTCATTATGGCAAACCCAACAGTCCAGAAAAGTATAGTTATCTATCAGTATAATATTGAACCAGCTATTTTTATGCCTCATTTGGAATATATATGACTATCATATGTACTCATTCACCATCAAACTCTATTCCTTGATTATATCGCTGATCTCCATTAACAGATTAGTAACACAAATACATCACTAGACATTATATACACAGACTTTTCAAGCTTTAACAGAAAAAACAGGATTTGATATAGTGTTTTAAACAGAAAATCACTTGAAGATAGCTGTTAAATCTACTTCCCCCACTGTGAAGTACCTCAGCCACTCTAGCAGAAGTATATACTCCATAATTTTCTAGCCTACTGCTCTGCTTTGTAGCATTTGTCTCTATGTTAAACTGTTGTTTTTACTTCTCTTCTCTCGCTCCTTGTGGGTAGGAATCTGATCCTACAGCTGAGTTCTGAGTTACCTTGGTGGGTAGTGCTATGTGGGGGTGAGGAGAGGGGCACACAGGATGCGTCGCTCAGCTTGGTGTGCAGACCTGTGCACAGGCACATGGAAAGGTGGAGTTGCACATTCAGCAGCGATTTATCGCAAGGATGCCTTTTCAAATGATCCTAAGCGCAGAGTGGGTTATAAAGAGTAGCAAATCTAACAAAATGGTTTCAGAGTATCAAGAATGGAGAAGGCCTATAACTGATTATTTGGGAGATTACTGACGGTAGGAGCAGGCTGGTAGTTGAGTTACTCACTAAGAAAGTAAACATAAAGCAGTGTACTTAAACTTCTGGCTAAAAGGGTGCAGAGAGGAAAAAGAGGTAGGAAATGGTACTCAGTGGTCACCCCTGGAAGCTAGCTGTGTGCAACGCCATTAGGTTGTCACTGTCCCTGTTTTCAGGGTATAAAACCAAAATAGGCATCTTTAAAATATAAAATCATAACTCTGTGTTACTCTCAATTCACAAGTAATAATACAGAATATTTAAATTCAAGTTTGATTTTCTACCCCTATCTTTTCTCTTTTCTTGTTCTTGAGACTTTGGCTTCTAACGTTAATTATCCATTCTTTTCTTGTTTTTTTTTTTTTTGTCTTTGCGAGATAGGGTCTCGCTATGTAGTTCAGGGTGGCTTTAAGCTCACTTTGTAGCCCATGCTGCTCTCAAACTCGCAACGATCCTCCTGCCTCAGCCTCCCGAATGCTGGAATTATACAGGCATGTGCCACCAAGCCCAACTTAATACCATTATCCTTTCTCTAAGTTTCAAAATATTACTATTAGACAACTAAATATAGTTTATGATCTTATAGCTCATCACCCAAGGTATAGTTAAAATGCTATATAAATGTAAATGAAATAGCTCATGTAGTTATGTAACCAATTTAATGTACATAATATTTCATTTTAGTTTTCTTTTTAAAGATTTCTTTCCTTTAAAATTTTATATTTGCACATACAAAGGATTTAACTTCCAAAACCAAAATTAAATCTATTATATCCAGGGACATTTGCTTTCTATTACTATCTCTTTTCTTCCCATACTCTTTTGTGTTAGTTTTGCAGTTTTTATTGATACTTGTTTACAGTACATACTTACATTTGTTTGGGGGCTGGCTATCTGTCTGCCTGCCTGCCTGTCTTTCAAAGGTCTGCCTTATTTTAGTCCTTTACAGTCTGGTGTCTCATGAGAGAAACCATGCCATGTTTAACTTTCTGTGTCTGCCAATTCCCGTAACATAATGGCCTCAAAATCGATCCACCATCCTACAAATGACCTGACTCAAAGCTTCTTTACGGCTGAGTAGATTTCTCCTGTGCTCTTTCCTCACGTTTTCTCCATCTCTCTACTGATGGGCACCAAGGTTGTGTCCAGAGCTGAGATTCGCTTTCCACAGGCGTTGTACTAGTTTGTGTTCCCACACTCAAAGGTTCCTTTTCCCCAAATCCTGCCAGCATTTGTTTTCTGCACTGATTTTAGCCATTCTGACTGCAGTAAGATGGAATCTCAGTTGTTTTCATTTGTACTTCCCTTATGTCTAAAGATGATGAACATCATTTCATGTACTTATTACTAGCCATTTGTACTTCTTTTGAGAAGTGTTGATTCAGTGTATTTGCCCACTTCTTGAAAGGAGTGTGATTTTTGGTGGTTGTTTGTTTAATCTAGCTATTAGTCCTCTAACAGAAGAGTAGCTGGCAAAAATTTCCCCCATTTTGTGGGTTGTTTCCTTTGCTGTGCAGTAACTTTTTAACTTGATGTACTCCCCTCGGTGATTCTTGGTGTTGTTTATTGTGCTACTGGAGTTCTACTCAGAAAACCCTTGTGCATACCTGACGCTCCAAGTGTTTCCATTTTGCTGTCTTGCAGCAGTCTCTGAGTTTCAGGCTTTGTATCTAGGCCTTTGATTCATGTAGAATTTGCTTTAGTACAAGGTGAGAGGTTTGGTCTAATTCCATTCTGCATGTGGATAAACAGTGCCATTTGTTCAAGAGGCTGTCTTTTCTCCAACATATGTTTTTGGCTCCTTTGTCAAAACTCAGATGACTAAAAGTGCCTGGGGCTGTTTGTTCGTCTTGAATTCTATTTCATTGGCCTGCATGTCTATTTTTGTGCCAGTAGTATGCTATTTTTGTTACTATAGCTTCATGGTTTTATAACTTGAAATCTGGAATTCTGATGCTTCTTGCTTTGTTCCTTTTGCTCAGGATTTCTTAGGCTATTCTGGGTTTCTTCTGGTTCAATATAAGTTTTAAGGTATTTTCTAGATGAAAGGTATTTCAAGGTACTTTCTAGTAAAACTTTTTTTGGTGTTTAAATAGAGATTGCATTAAATCTATAATTGGTTTTTGTGATAGGGTCATTTTAACAATATTCTATCTACCCAGGAATAGGGAGTGTCTTTCCTTTCCTTTCCTTTTTTTGTTTGGTTTTGAGATAGGGTCTCATTTTGTAGTTCAGACTGGCTTTGAACTCACTGTGTAGCCCAGGCTGGCTTCAAACTCACAGTGACCTTTCTGTCTCAGCCTCCTAAGGGCTGAGAGTATAGGTGTGTGCCACCACACCCAGCTTCCACTTCCTAACATCTTCTTCAATCTCTTCAGCGTTCTATAGGTTTTTTTTTTTAAATAAGTCTTTTACTTATGGATTAGGTTGGTTCCTAGATATTTAAATTGTTTGAATTCTTTTTTTTTCATAGTACTAAGTACTCATAGGTTATTATATTAGCAATATGCAAACAGTGATAACCATGATTTAATGAGACTTTTTTTTTTCTTTTTGCAATAATGGGGAATGAGCCCAGGACCTTCACACTGAATTACATCCACAGCCCCCCCCCCTTTTCTTCCTTTGGTTTTTTTTTTTTTTTTTCCCATGCCAGGAATCAAACTCACAACCTCGTGGTTGCCAGCCAGGTGCTGTGCCGCTGAGCTAAATCCCCAGCCCCCCTTTTTTCTTTCTTTTGAAAAATTTGAGACAGAATCTTGTCAATGGTTGGGGAGAGGACACTGACTGGTTGTGGGGTCCTAGTGTGATGGGAGGCTGGACAGAAAAAGCTACAAGAAATGGCTTTTGCCTCAGATGGCTCACTTGAGAGGTTAGTAAGAATTGCCTCCTCAGTATTCTATAGCCATGACAAGGAGGAGGCCAAGAAGAGAAAACAAAGAGACCAAGAAAAAGCAGCTGCTTTTGCTGCAGCACTAAGAGAAACAGACCCCAAGTCTGATTCTCAGGGCCCTAAGAAGAACTCGACGACTACATTCATCTGCTACTGCTGTTAAAAGCCAGGCCACCTCAAGAGGAACTGCCCTAAGAAGCCCCCTGGGCCATGCCCTGAATACAAAAGTGACCACTGGGAGATTGGTCTGCCCTCTGAAGCAGAGGCCCCAGAACTCAGACGCATCCTAGCGGTTAGTCCAACAGGAATGAGGGGGGCCAGGGCATACCCTGCCTTCTCCCTCTGGCCAGACTGTCATCTCCATGGAGGAGCCCCAGGTAATCATGACTATAGAGGAAAAAGAAAACAGCCTGTTGCTAGACACAGGTGCAAGTCCTCTTGGTCCTTCTTTTCAATCCTGGCCTTTCTTCTAGCCATCACACCTCCGTGAAAGGAGTCACTGGTAAGGAGGTAATACGCTATTTTTCACAACCCTTAGGCTGTAACTACTTGTTAGATCTTTCTTGTGTATCTCTGTCTTCCTGAGAAACCACTTTGAAGATACCACCATGTATTACAGCAGCCATTGATATTTTCCTACTAATCTGACCATACTCTATAATGTTTGTATTGTTCCTATGCTATATCATAAATGGATGTATGTTTATTACTATGTGTTTCCTGCAACAACCATTGAGAATAGTCAATGATTATTCAATTGGTCACTCATGTGTAGCTCTATTTATTTTCTTTAGAAACCACTTTGAAGATACCAAAATATAGTACAACAACCATTGATAATAACCTACCACTTTTGTCTGTAGCTCACTATTATTTGTCTATTTGTTTTCCTGAGAAACTATCTTGTAGATAACAATATGTAAAACAACAACCATTGATAATTTCCTACCACTTTGTCTGTAATTCAGTAAGCCCCCCTATTACTATGTTATCCTTCTTTTACTCTTTAAAGTTAAAAAAAAAAAAAAAGAATCTTGTCAAGTCAATAAATTGCCCAGTGTGGGGTCCAACCTGTGATCCTTCTGCTCAGCCTCCCAGAGTGCTGGAATTACACATGTGTACCATCATGTCCAGCCCCCCCCAATCATTTTGTTAGCTTCTTTCCAGAGTTTCTTCTCACAAATATGACCAAATGTGCATACATGTATTTATATTCCCACTTTCTTACAGAGAGGTATCAGACTATATTATCTCCCTTACTTTAGTTACTTAACATTTAGTGAGGTTTTTCTCCATCAGTGTCCAGACCTTTCTCATTTTTTGTAACTTCCTAATAGCCAACTTGTATGTACACGCTTCCAGTCTTAGGCAATTACAGACTCACGAGACATTTTACACTTGCCAGGGTAACTCTGACAGACTGGTGAAGAGAGTTTTGCATCACAAAGTGAATGCATGCATGACTTTTCAATTTAAAAGCATGGAGAACTTTCCTTCCATTTCCACTGGCTGTCCCAAAGGCAATGTATCAGAAAGCCTGCCAACCTGACAGGTGGGAATTTCTTTTAACATGGAGATCTAATTAACCCAGGATAACTTATTCAAAAGATGGTTCTGTTCCCTATTGTTCTGCAGTGCCATCCTCCGACTACATATTCACATGATTGTTCTGGAATTCTCTTTTTCTATTATTTATTTGTCTATCCTTCTATCAAGATCACACTGTCTTATTATAACTTTATAACAAATCTTAACATGTGATAAAGCCAGTCTCCTTTATTTTTCTTAAACACTGTTTTGGTTATTCTTAATCTTCGGTATTTTCTTAGAACTCTGAGAAAGGGCTTGCTGAGTTCCACAAAAATATCTACTGGGATTTTCATTAGGATAGTACTGAATGTATTAAGCAAGATGAAGAGAATAGGTATCTTTACACCACTGATTCTTTTAATCCATACAGAAAAGGCAACCCTCAATTTATTTAGAATTTCTTTAATTTCTCTCAATGTTTTATAGTTTTCAGATAGAGATGTTGAATATCTCCTATTAAATATATTCCTGGGTATGTGATATCTTAAATGGTACTATGAACATTTTTTAAAAATCATTTTTCTGACACTATGGGTAGTATGTAGAATTACAAGTGATTTGAGAACTACCTTTATACCCAGCAATCCTTCTGAATTCTAATAGTTTGTGTACAGGATCTTTGGGATTTCCTGTGTGCAGCATTAATTGTCCTACAGATAACAGTTGTATTTTTCCACTCAGATACCTACACTTTCTTTTTCCTCCTCATTTTGCTGGCTAGAACCCCCAGCACAATAGTGAGCAGAAGAGGCTGATGGACATGCTGATGATGCCCATGCCCTGTTCCACAATTCACTGTAAAGTATATGGCTGCTGCTAGACAATTTCAGAGACCTTTCGCCTGTCTGCGTGTCTCGCTCTCAGGGCACCAACAACGTTTTTCTGCACCATCATTTCCAGCCTGGGCCGATAAACTCTCACTTCAGGCCGTCAGGCACACACTGCCAAATAGAAAATGTCTCACACACAAGGTCTTGTGGAATTTTCTGTGACTGAGAAGGGCTGGAAACGTCCACACACCGGCCTTTATGCAGTCACAAACGCATTCTGTTGCACAGGGACAGCTGACTCACTGTCCAGCATTCTACATCTCCCTCCACAACAAAGGTCTGGCAGTGTTCTTCAGGCCGTTTAGAAATAATTTATACTCCTCAAGCTTGGGGTTCATCTTTAACGCATCCTGACATGTTTAGGCACTGACTTCCTTAAAGGAACGAGGAGTAAAACTGATACTCCGGCTACAGCTATTGCTGTGACGAAGAACTATCTTTTGCTCTTGAGTCTCATGTCCTTTGTCAGTTCAGTACACAAGTTAACTTGTTAACTTGCCAGTCAAAGGAAAATCGTAGTCAAAGGGATCTCTCACTGTCAAATTAAGGAAGCATTCCTCTTTCTACTTTAACAACGTTATTGTGTATGGGTGGTAAACTTTATCAACTATTTCTGCACCTACTAAAATCACCAGATGATTTTTCACCCTTTATTCATACAGTGAGTTACATTTATCTTCAAATGTTAGATCAACCTTGCATTCCTGGAGTAAAGTCAATTTGGCCATGGAGAATCACTGTTTTCAGATTATCAGATTCAGTTCTCTAGTATTTTATTCAGGAATGTTTGCATCCACGTTCGTGAGACTGGCCTGTTAGTCCTTCAGTCTTGTGATGCCTCTTTCCAGCGTTGGCGTTAAGGTTGCTGGCTTCTCTGGAAGATCTTAGACTGAGTTTTCCTTCTTTAAATACTTGAGAGGACTCATCAAGAAACCCAACAGAGCCTGAGTTTTACTTCATGAGTTTTTGTTTATGACTAGATTTCTTTAAATAAGACTTACATTTTTAATATGTTCTTGTGTCATTTCTGTTAATCTAAATTTTCTTTTGAAGCTGCCCATGTAATCTAAAACTTTAAATATACTAAAATCATTTATAATATCTCATTATATTTTCAATGTCTATAAAATCTGTAGTGATGTTCCTTTCTCAAAAAAAGTTATTTACCTTGGCTTTTTGTGACTTTTTACTTTTTTTCTTAAGCTCTATCACATATCATTTAATATGAAATACTCCACTTATCAATAGAAAGCTGATATAAAAGGTTTTATTATATTTCTTGAGAACCAACTTTTGGTTTTGCCCGTACTTCCTAGTCTGGGTGTGTTCTTTATTTTCACTTATTTTTTGAGAGTCTCTGCGTTGCCCAGGCTGCTCTCCGACTTCTGGGCTTCAGTGATCCTCCAGCCTCAGGCTTCCAAACAGCTAGGAATACAGGAACGTGTCACCATGCCTTGCCTGTGAATCTGCTGTTATTTCTACGTTTCATGAATTTCTACACTTCAGCATTTCTGGTTTTATACTTCCTTTGGGTCACGTTATCTTTTTCCAAACTTCTTGAGTTGTGTACTTCGGTCACTCAAGTCCAGTTATTTTGATTTGTGACAGAGCCATTCAGGGCCGTCCATGTCAGTGAGCACAGCTCTGACTGCACCCCGCAAGATCAGTGTGGGCCATTTTCATCATGCCCTGAAATGTCTGTTCTCATTTCCACCGTGACCCCCTCCATGTATCTCACTGGGTACTCAGCAGCACATTTCCGAACAGGGCTATCCCTTTTTATCTTTTTGTTACTGACTTCCAGGTTAATGGCACTGTGGTCAGAGAAAACACTACTTTTTTCAGTCTGTTAGTCCTTGTTGAGATTTATTTTATAGTCTAGTATGTGGTCAACCTTTGTGAAAAGTTCAAGTAACCTGGCCAGGCGTGGTGGTGCATGCCTGTAATCCCAGCACTTGGGAGGCTGAGGCAGGAGGATTGTTGCGAGTTCAAGACCAGCCTGGGCTACAAAGTGAGCTCAAGGCCAGCCTGAACTGCATAGGGAGACCCTGTCTCAAAAAACACAAAAAAGAAAAAAAGAAAAGTTCAAGTGACCTAAAGAGTCTTTTTTTTTTTTTGTACCGGGAATCAAACTCAGGACCTTGCACTTGCCAGGCAGGCACTTATGCCACTGAGCTACATCCCTAGCCCCTGAAGAGTTTTTATTTAGCAGACCATGTTATTATGTTCTATATATGTATGTTCAGAAAATGGAGTTGATTATTAAGGCAGTTAAAATGTTCTAGATTATTGTTATTTTTGTGTCTATATCTTCTTTTTTTTGTGTGTGGTATGATGTTTTTATTTTATTTTTTGTGGTACCGGGGATCGAACTCACAACCTTGCGCTTGCCAGGCAGGCGCTTATGCCACTGAGCTATATCCCCAGCCTGTCTGTGCCTTCTGACAGTTAGGGAATTCTATTAAAATCCCTCATGAAGCTGGGCGTGGTGGTGCATGCCTGTAATCCCAGCACTCGGGAGGCTGAGGCAGGAGGATTGTTGCGAGTTTGAGGCCAGCCTGAGCTACAAAGTGAGCTCAAGGCCAGCCTGAACTGCATAGTGAGACCCTGTCTCAAAAAGACAAAAAAAAAAAAAATCTCTCATGATAATTGCAGGCCTGCAGCTATTTCTCTTGGAAATTCTGGAAGCATTTCCTTTATATATTTTCAAGGTACATTACTAGATAGATTCAAATTTAGAATTGTCAGTTATTTTTGATAAGCTTAATATTTCTCCCAACAATTTTATTGATTTAAAGTTTACTTTTTTAGTGTTAATAAAGTATGGTTTTTTCTTTTTCTATGCTTTTATTTTTATATATCCTAATATTTCATGTGTCAATACTATATAGTTTGTTTTTAAAATGCTAATCTGATGATCTAAGTGGTTTATAGTTACATTTATATCTAATGAAAAACTAGGTTTTCATCATCTAAGTATGTTCTACTTATCCCAACTGTTCTACTGTTCTATGTATCCTTTTACTTTCCTTTTTTACCTACATTTAAAATATATTTTGTTAGTTCATATGCCACCTACTGTACTATCATGGGAATTATGTACTTTTTCTTTTTTGTCTTTTTTTTTTTTTTGCCTTTTTTGGGACAGGGTCTTGCTACGCAGTTCAGTCTGGCCTTGAGCTCACTTTGTAGCCCAGGGTGGTCTCAAACTCAGAACAATCCTCCTGCCTCAGCCTCCTGAGTGCTGGGATTACAGGTGTGTGCCACCCCATGCTTGGCCTTATGTACTTTTTCTTAATGTGATAAAATATACATAAAAGTTACCACTTTTAAGTGTACACATCACTACACACATTAACACCGTTTGGTCATCACTGCTATCAACCTTCCGAATACTTTCCTCTTCCTCATCTGAAACTCTAGAACCACTAAACACTGTATTCTCCCTTCATCCATCCCCTGACAACCAGTACTGTACTTTCTGTTTCTATCAATCTCTAGACTACTCTAGATACCGTATACAGGTGGATTCACAGTATTTGTCCTGTTGTGACTTTTATTTCACTTAGTTTTTAATTTTGATGGTGTCTATTATATTCTTAAGGTGAAGTGGCTGTTTCATGGATTTTTTTGCTATAATTTTTAAAGTAGTTTTCTCTGATATGCTGAAATATTCTTTTCTTCAGCCGTAATTTTTTTTAAATGCTGTCTGCTCTATTTTCTTGTTCTTTTGTTTAAAATCTTGTTACGTCAATAACAGAACTTCTCACTGTATCTTGTACTTCTTACTATTTTTGTTTTCTTTTTAACTCCCTGTGTTTTGGTCCATAGTTTCTTCTTCTCTTTTCTTTCTAAATATAGTAGTCCTGGCCTGCGAGGAACCTACTGTGCAGTCCAGGCTGGCCTCAAACTCACCACCCTCCTGCCTCAGCTTCCCATGTTCTGGGATTACAGGCATATGCCTGTACATCCAGCTTCTACCTTTTAACTCTCACTTCAACTATTTGTCTAGTCTTCCACAGAGCCTATTAGCTAAGTCATTACATTTAGTTACTTTATTCTTCATTAATGAAATGTGACAGTCAAGGTAGCCTATCAAATTGACTGGCTTGGGAGTCAACCAGGGGTTAATAAAACACCCTTTTGGGTGTCTGTGGGGTGGGTCATGGTGCAGTGACCTTGGGGTCTATATCTGGTTCCTTGCCCCTTTCTTCTCTTATTCTCTTTAACCTCTCTGCTTTAGGACCACCATGCATTAATCATCTTTGTTGTGCCACACCTTTCTGCCTTGATGTTCTTGCCTTGGAGCCCACCTACCGTGGTTTTTTTTTTTCTTTTTTTTCCGGTACTGGGAATCGAACTCATGACCTCATGCTTGCCAGGCAGGTGCTGTGCCGCTGAGCTAAATCCCCAGCCCCAAGCCCACCTACCATGGACTGAATCTTCTAAAACCATGAGTCAAATAAACATCTCCTCCTTTAAGATGTGTGTACTGGGTATTCAGTCCCAGCCACAGGAAAACTAATAAATGGAATTTTCACTTTTAAGATATTTTCAATTATCTACTAAAATTCTGTCTTATCTTTTGTGTCCTTGAACATAACACATCTATAATGTATTAGGAAATCCCCTTCAAAACTTAGTAGCCTAAAGTAATAGCCATCTACTTATCTTTTACTTCTGCTAACTAGCAATGGGTTGATTCCTATAGGTGATTCCTGTCATCTTGGATGGGTTCACACATACATCTGTGACAACTGCCAGGCTGGGTAGGTTGATCTGTTAATCTATGCCAGTGCCTTTTACATGTACAGGGGTAGACAGCTGTAGGCTAGACTGCTTTGGCCATCTTCCACATAGTTTCTTGCCCTTTGGCAGGCTGTCCGGGCTTCCTCATAAGAATACAACAAACTTCTGAAACTGACTTTTGGAAATGGCATAATTTGTCAAAATAAGTCATAAAGCTGGCCTAGGTTAAAAGGGGTAGGAAAAGAGATTCTTCTTGATGAGATGTACTTCAGCCCCACTCCCACTGCTATAATTTTACCAAGATCCTGTTCTCCTGGCTGCAGCACTATCAAAGAGTCCCTCAGGCTCCTGGCTACTCCTCTGCAAATAACACTAGAAGCAAACTGGTCTTAAGCACTGGGCTTATTTCTCTGAAACTCATCTTCTCAGTATCCTGTCCCAGTACCTGATCCTTGTCTTGACAGCTTTTCCATGTTTTTAAGTGGATATTTTTTCACATTTATTCAGTTTTCCTAACTGGTGTCAATGGAATGTTTGCTTAAATCATCTAGACACCTCCAACTGGAAACAGAGCTTCTAATCAACTATTTTGAGGAAATGGATTCTATGCTGATCTGTAGAAATTCTAAAAATATACAAAATACACAAATTTTTAAATACTCCTTTCTTTAAGAGGCGGCACTCAACCCACCACTCACACCCTACCTCACCATTGTTGGTTTGAATGTAGTGACTCAGCCACCTGGCCATGATGTAAAGACTGCAAAAAGCCTCGCAGAAAGAAAGGCCCATTGGTGAGAAATCAAGGCCTTTCGCTGAGAGCCATGTGAATGAGCATCTGAGAAGCAGATCCTCCCTCTTAGTCAAACTTCTGGACAACCGTCAGGCTGACATCTTGGCTGCAACATGAGACCCTCAGATAAACCACTCTGCTAAACCATTCTGTACCCTGATCTGCAAACTTTGAGATGGTAAATGTTGCTTGTGACAATCAATTTTGGAGTAATTGGCTTTGCATTAGTAGTTAATTAATACTATGTTTTGTGTTTTTTGGTGCTGGGGATTGAACTCAGGGCACTGCACATGCTAAGCATATACTTTATTGCTAAGCTACAACCCCAGCCCTACAGTGTTTGTTTTTAACTTTAACAATATTATTTTAATATATTAGTATTTTCACTTAAAATTATCCTTTTTATTGAGAAGAAAATGAAATAACTTACAATGTTTAAATATAGAAGAGTATGATCACTTTACCTCTTTGTTCTGTTTACTCCTGATGGGGAGTAGAGTTTTTCAGAACAGATGAAGTCATTTCCACAATAGTGCTAATAGATAAGCCATTGAGAAAACCTTTACGATTCATTCTCACTTCCTGAAGAGCATCTATAATATCGTCTCTACGTGAAAGGAAACATACATCAGCATTCCCCTTAGTAACATGTTCTGAACATGGTTAAACTATTGAAGTGTACTATATTGTTACAGAAAAGTTTCAAATTATTTAAAACATGATTTCAGTTTTTTGTTTTTTGGTTTTTTTTTTGGTTTTTCTCCAGTACAGGGAACTGAACTCACGACCTTGCGCTTGCCAGGCAGGCGCTTTGCCGCTGAGCTAAATCCCCAGCCCCATGATTTCAGTTATTACCTGCTGACTTCTGGATGCAGTTCAGCCAGTCTTTTTATGATCTTGGTAAAGCTACTAAGGTTCAATGTATTTGCAGGTATGAACTGAACAGGGGTTTTTGGTACTAACTGAGCAGATTCAATCTGTTTACAATTCTTCTTGGCATCCTAAATGAATGAACAGAGTAAATAATTGTAAAAATAGGAGATAAGAGGAACAAGAAACTGCTAGAAAGGTGAGGGAACTTGGAATGACAGACGCTAACTGGAAGCTTCCCTATCTACATACCCTAAGACAACACACTCCTGCCTGGAGCTTTAATGGCCCTCTTTATCTTTGCCACACTCATGACCACAGTCACAACTGACTGGACCAAAAGTCCTGAACTACTAAACACCAAAACCACAGGCTGGGTCAGTTCAACTTCCTGCCTAAAAAACGTCAAACAGGCATACAGAGCAAATGTGTGCATCAAATGATCACATGGGCTTGACCAGAGACACAAAAGAGTTAGAACTACACAGAACAAAACCAAGTGAGGTAGAAAGTACTCTTAGGTACAGGAAACTGGCATGCAGAGAAGCAGGAAAGGGAGCACAGAAGGATACAGAGGAAGCACCTGCATGTATCACATGAGAGACAAGGGCAGAAGCCATGGTCCCCAAATCTTCAGCTCAGGCTGCCTGTGTCCTAAATGGATGTTGTCTCCTTCCTTCCATATGTGGATTGAAACTATGTACCCAAAACCTATCCTAAATATCAAGTGTCAGAGATGAAAGAAAAAGATTTTTTAAAAGAACAGCCAATATCAAAATGCCAAGGACAAAGAAAAGAACCGGTTAAAAAAGGAAGTCAGAATATTAGGAAAAGAAGAGAAGCAATCAAATAAATCGAAACAATGGATGTAAACCACTCCACTGAGAAGTTCGCCGAGCATATGGGAAGCCCTGGGTTCAGTCCTCAGTACCCGCACTAAACAATAAAACAGTAGCAGCAACAACAAAACCCCAATTCTGATCAACGCTCTCTTTCCTGCTTCAACATTGCTGGTACTAGAGTCACCTATTCCACAGGCACTCACAGCAGAATGGCAAGTATGAGATCATTTCTGGGGTCAGTTATGAAATTTACCTGCTCCAAAGGTGAAAGCTCACTATCTTGCTCTGACACCATCTGCCTTGGCCTTGTTCTGGACAATGTAGAAACAGAGGGGGCTGCACTGATTTCTTTGTTGGTACTTTTCTCCAAATTATTCAAAATTTTTTTTGAGGAAAATGGTGATGTACACTCTCCATGAGATTTAACAAGCCGTACATTTACTGATTTTCCATTTATTTCTATCCCATTCATTTCTTCCACAGCCATCTTTGCATCATGATTTTTCTTAAAAGCAAGAGATGCATATCTATAGTATATAAACACAAGACCAAAAAGTTCATCATAACTTTACCTTAAACTTAACTTTCTAACCATTGACTACATATATCTTTCATAAGAATAACTGCTCTTTCCCCCACCTCCCCAGTACCGGGAATCGAACTTGCCAGGCAGGCGCTGTGCTGCTGAACTAAATCCCCAGCCCCAAGAATAACTGCTCTTAGAAATATAAAGGTTACTCCTAGGCATGGTGGTGCACACCTATAATCCTAGCACTTGGGAGGCTGAGGCAGGAGGATCATCAGGAGTTCGAGGCTAGCCTGTGTTACACAGTGAGTTCAAGGCTCGCCTGGACTACACAGTGAGACCCTGTCTCAAAAATCCATAAATTCATAAATAAATAAATACAAAGGTTACTGTTTTATATTTACTTTGGAATAAAAATATTCAGAATAACTAAATACAAAACAATTAAAGATGGGAAATAAATAGTAAGCATTTTAAAGCACTATATCCTATTAATTTCATATTAAAATTTAATGTTTAAATTTACTTTATTAGTACATGTGTGGGGTACACAATGATTTATATTCCTTGTGGGAAACTGGCAATGTACATAACACATCTTAAGTTCCTATATTATAGCACTGCAGAGACTGTAGTCTAGGGACAGCTAGTTATCCATACTAAAACCCTTAATGCTTATATACAAACGCAAACTCCAGATGGCTCAAAGTAAAAGCAAAATTCAAAAACATTCACCTGAATGTCTTTATAACCTTGTAGTGGAAAAGCAAACATAAAAAAAAGAAGCAAACATAAAAGAAGTTAGAAAACATAATCAGAATTTCAATCATAAAACTGAAAGTTGGGCAAGAGCCATCTGCATTAAACCAACAGCCTCAGGCAGTATCAGTGGAAGGACATGTACCAAATCTGAAGAGCAGTTATTCTGAATGGTGGGGCTATGAATAAAATTTTGTAACTTCATTGTATTTAACTATGTTATCTAAATTTCTACATGAAATTTATGACACAAAATAAGAAGAAAGAAAGTTTTTTGAAAGAGGAAATTCAACAAGATAGTAATACTTTAACACTGTGAAATATATAAACAATAACATTAATAGGTCAAATTAAAAATGCATATGATCTTAACTGACTCCATTTAAGACAAACATGTATTTTTAATACATTTCAATACTAACTGTAAATAAAATTCTTAATTGATCAGTGTTTTTATATTTGAAATAAATAGCAATAATTTAAAATGATAAGATAAACAATATAGCCATTTCTATTAAGTTATCACAATTGTTATTTGATACTTCAGAATAATTTGACTATGTCACAGAGAGTAGCAACACGCATATTGGAAGTCACTATATCGAGATGATCTAGCCATCTATCTAAAAAAAACCCTGAAAATTCAAATCAGAAATAACAAAATTAAAAACCTTTTTGAGCACCTGCTGTGTGCCAGGCTTAATTTCTAGTATATTTAAACTTTTAAGTTTTATGGCAATGCTGTAAAAATACTATTATCATTAATAGGTGACAGATAAAAAGGCTGAAGTATAGAAAGATAAGTAAGCAACTTGCCCAAATTCATTCATCAAGTTATTAACATAAGTGGGAGTTGAACCAGTCACGTATTTTAGAGCCCATTCTCTTAACTGATGCACTCTGCTTCCCCTATAATTGGTATGTAACAAGATAAAGTGCACAAAATCAGTAACTTTCCTATGTGCCACAAGGAAGTTAAAAAGTATACAGAAACAAAGATCCCATGAAGAGTAACAGCCATGGTTGCAGCTATGTGCCTGTTCCTCTCCACTAGCTTGAGGTTCCCTGCGGGGGTGGCCCTTGACTTTGTCGCACTGTGGCTGACTGTAGTATGGGACTTCTGATGCACAGCAGACACACTGAAATACACTTACTGAATTTAGGAAACACACCTGTAATTAGTAGAAGAATCACAAATTGAGATTTCAGAAATGTGGTATTTGTGGAAGTAAGACCTCAAATCAGCCTACAAGAGAAATAAAAAATTGTGAAAGGTAGAAGAATTAATCATAAATAATCAGTGAATTTGAAAATGAAGTCCCGCTCCCAAGAAATCTTGGCATACCTCAGATACTGAAGGGCAGAGACCACCAACATGTATCAAAAATCCTTTATCTCTTTGTATTTCTTTGTAATTCTTCATTTCTGCTTATAGAAAAGCATAAAACAGAAATGACCATGAATGTATTGTTATTTTTAAGAAAAACTATGAATGTTCAATTCATGATTTCATCAATTACAAAATGTATTTAAAAATCATCAGCAAATGCCAGCAGTAGACTGAAAACAATAGCCTAGAACACAATTTTAAGGTTTCTGGACCCTAACCATATCATCTTTTTTTTTTTTGGTTTTTCTCCGGTACCGGGAACCGAACTCACGACCTTGCGCTTGCCAGGCAGGCGCTTTGCCACTGAGCTAAATCCCCAGCCCTCTAACCATATCATCTTAAAAATAGAGTTGGACTGCTTGATACTAAGTCTCCTGGCAAACAAAAACCTATCAATTGCTGGTGGTCAGAAAGCTTTCCTTACACACATTTCTTCACTGAGGAAACAGCATACCAAGAAAACCTTTCTATCAGATCAAAGTCAATAGCATGTATATAACTGTTATATACTAAAGGCACACAGAAAAGGAGGAGACAAATAGCATTATTCTACAAATTGTAAAATTAGGATTAGACATTTCTTGTTTAACAACAATATTCAAAATTCTTAGACTGCATTTTCATGGTCTTTGTTGTGAAGACAATCTGGTCTAAAACCACAATAAAAAAAGATGCACTGAATTGAGATTGAAATTACTATCAGGGTAGGGAGCACATGAATATTTGTTGAACGACTTCTTAAGAGTAGCTTTTATGTTTCATGATTTTGTTATGTTTACATAATGGGAGATTTGTAAATTTTATTCTTTTTAGTAATAGGAGAAAAAGAAGATGGGGAGAGAAGGAGGAAGAAGAGAAGGAAGAGGAGGAGGAGGATGAGCAGTGCAGCACTCACTGAATGCCCCTATGCTCCAGGCAATATGCCAAGTCTTCATATACATCATCTCATGTAATTCTCACAGCCACCTCATGAGGTGATTATTATTATTTCCATTTTACTGATGTGGAAGCTGAGGCCTCAGGAGTTTTGGGCAAAAACATAGTAAGTGGTGGTGCTAGATTCATGCAGTATCTCTCATCTTTTGGTAAAAGAATACCTAATCCTCTTCATTAACTTACTTCATTTAATTTGTTGATGTTTTTGGATAGTAACATGTCTTAAAACAAGAACAATGAAACCATCTTTATAATTTACACTGGAGTGAGGAGGGGGTAGAGTTACAGTAAAAAAGGGCAGAAGATACATGTTCTACCCATCTTCTCCCCTTTCACTACTCCACTAGAAATAACCGCTGACTACCCTGGGCACTGAGCACTGGCCCTGACGGGGGAGGTGGCCGGTGAGCAGAGCACACAGAGCGTCCTCATCTCAGCAAGCCAGCGCGGACACAAGAACGTGGGCAGCAGCCAGGACAGCAAGCAGGTGAAACACCAAGCAGGAGCCAAGTGATGATGCACACAAACAACCCAAGGGGAGAAAAAATGGTTACAATAAAAGTAGACGCTATAAAAATGGTCAATAAAACTAGATAACTGGTTTATGCATGTGTACTAAACATACATACACAAAAAGATGTGTAAAAGAATGGTCACTATGAGTGGTTATGACTGGTTGGAGAAACCAGGTAATTTTAATTTTTTATGTTTTAAAATCTTAATAAGCACTTTTTTCTACAAGCAGGGAAAAAAATCAATAAATCTACTGCTATTATGGAAAAATATCCACAGAAGCAGGTAGGGAAAGTGAAGAAAGGTAGCATAAGTATCATTAGAAATGGCAGAAGGGAAACAGGCATGGTGGTCCACACCTATAATCCCAGTACTGTGGGAGGCTGAGGCAGTAGGGCTTCAAATTGAAGCACAGATCTGGGCAACTTCGTAACTTAGTGGAATTCTGTCTTGAAACACCAAAACACAAAGGATCGGGGAATGTAGCTCAGTGGGCAAGCTCTAGTTCAATTCACCAGCAAAAAAGAACACTAATTATAGATACTAGGCAAAATTGTATCATAAGCTATTGAAGACTATCTGAAGGTGAAAATATTCCTTAAATAAGATGAAATTATTGAAGTAAGGAAAGCAAGTAGTGTTCATTGCTAACACAAACTTGACAGATTAGTACTGGTTGCCTGATGGACACTGAGAAGCTGACTTGGCTGACCATATACGCGCCCTGGAAAATGGCTGCCAGGGCTCAGAAGAAAAGGGATGCCCCAGGGGAGGGCTGAGGCTGCTTTGAGTGGAGAAGAAAGAATGCCAGGTAGACACCTGCTGACCAAATCCTGCACCTAAGGCTTAAACAGTTTTCTGAAAGAGAAATGAACATTTAATACCGATTTGCTCTTTAAAAAATTGACTTCAACTCAGTCAATTTTCTCATTTTAAGAATATTTATAAAGAAAAGCCACAGACAGGAACAAAATATTACAATCCAGTCTCCCAAATCAACACAGAACCAAGCAAGGAAGCACTATTTTCAAGTAAGTTGGGTTAGAATTTCTCAGTCAATTCTTAAGAACCAACCTACTGTAAACTTCAGATTCCGTCTGTCATGATTTATTTGATTTTCTTCTGTTCCTGAGGAGTCAACTCCTGTCATGTTCTCTTTAGCATCAAACCAGTCTTCACTGATTTCATGGTCATTTCTGCACTCTAAGAGATTGAACACAATGAGCTCTGAGTTATGTGTGATGTTGAACCCTCTGGAAACTTAGACCTAACTATACAATAACAGTGATTGTCTTTAAGAAATTAAGCAATGGCACAGCTCTTCATTAAAACTATTTGTTTTGGAAGGGTAATCTTTTACAGGAAAAAACAAACATTAGGAACATTTTAAACATTATTTTCTAGTAGCTACACAATACATTTTTACACTGACCTTTATCATCAAGTTTTAGTTGACTGAAGTCTACATTGATACCACCATTTTTTAAAACATCTGTTTTGTGTGATGTATCTTGTTTAGGATGACTACTGCCAGATAATAAAGACACCTGAGAATTAAGGAATTAACAAGAATAGTAAGTAAGGGCCAGCAGTCATTACTCTTTTATTACATGACAGGAACTCTTTACTGGCTTTATTTAGCCCTCCCAACAATGACAGCAGTAAGAGCAAAACCCTTATCAACCTGACTTTACAGGGAGAAAACTGAATCTAGGTTGCCAGATCACGTCAGAGTTCATGAGAATTAGGATCTGAACCCCATCTGTGGACAGCGACTGTGTGCTGACATGATTACTTAGGGACATGTGGCATACATATACTAGAAGAATTTTCAGATGATTCTTGGATGTATAGAAATATTTATCAGCTGGGTGTGGTGGTGCACCGTAATCCCAGCACTCAGGAGGCTGAGGCAGGAGGATTGTTGCAAGTTCGAGACCAGCCTGGGCTACAAAGTGAGCTCAAGGCCAGCCTGAACTGCATAGCAAGACCCTGTCTCAAAAAGACAAAAAACAAAAACAAAAACAAGAAATATTTATCAACTTGGCCTTTATATATTTAATGTAGAATGTATGCTTATGTAGACTTTTATTTATGGGACGTAAAATTTCTTTCTCATATGTAATAGTGAGTTGTTCTTTACACTTCAATTTATTTAAAAAGGAGACTGACTGATTTATTGTGTGTGGTACTGGGGACTGAACTTAGGACCTTGTGCATGCTAGGCAAGCACTCTACCACTGAGCTACATCCCCAACCCCAAGGAGAGTAATTAAAAAATATATATAAAACAAATTTTTTTATTTTAAAGATAAAGGAATAAAAACATATTAAAGACACAGACAGCAGACATAAAAAAAACCACAGACATAAAACAATACAAAAACAAGAAAAGCAATACAGAATTTCAGACAAGATGACAGGAAACTAACAATGGTTGTTGTATTACATACTGTTGTCTTCAAATTGGTTACTCAGATAAACAAATACAGGAAGGTAAGAGTGATCAAACAATTAAATATTAACCATTCTTTTCATTCCAATGTTAGTATATGTGCTGAAGTGAGCATAACTGTTCCTTTCAATAAAGCAATAGAAATCAGTAGTACAACTATCTTAGTTATCCTGTGTATACATATATATATAATTTTTTCCCTTCTTTCTTTCTCTTTTCCCTCATCCCAGTTGTTCTTTCCTTTTGAGCAGTTTCTTTCCCTTTCACAATATCTATTGTACCTTTTAGATTTTATTTACTCTTTCAGGTTCTTACACTAGTGAGACAATATGGTGTTTACACAAGTGGGTTTGATTTATTTCACTTATGAATATGGTCTCTAGTTTTATCTACCCATAAAAGCCTCGAGTTTTATCTTTCTTCATAGCCGAGTAATATTCCATTATATAAAAATACCACAATTTTTTTATCCATTCCTCAGTTGATGGACATTTGGGTTGTTTCCAAGATTTAGCAATTACAAATTGCATTGCTATAAACATGAGTGCACATCTATCACTGCAGTATGATGTTTTCAGTTCTTCTGGAAAAATACCCAGAAGAGGAATAGCTGGGTTGAATGGGCCTCTAATCCTAGTTTACTGAAGAATCTCCAGACTGATCTCCACAGTGGTTTCACCAGTCTACACTCCCACCAATAGTGGAGAAGTGTTTCTTTTTCCCCCAAATCCCCACCAGCATTTGTTATTGGTTGAATTTTTTTTGAGACAGGGTCTCACTATGCACGTCAGGCTGGTCTTGAACTCACTTTGTAGCCCAGACTGGTCTTGAACTCATGTAAAAATCCTCCTGCCTCAGCCTCCCAAGTGCTGGGATTACAGGTGTGTGCCACCACACACAGCCAATTTCTTTTTTTTTTAGTTTTTCTCCGGTACTGGAAACTGAACTCACGACCTCGTGCTTGCCAGGCAGGCACTTTGCCACTGAGCTAAATCCCCAGCCCCCAATTTCTTGATAATAGCCATTCTCAGTGTTGTTTTAATTTGCATTTCTCATATGACTAATGATATTGAACATTTTTTCATTATTTGTCATTTGTATTTATCTGAGAAGTGTGTATTCATCTCATATGCTCAGTTTTGTACTGGGTCTTTGAATTTGGTGGGGACTGATTTTTAAAAATTCTTTATATGTTCTAGATAGAAGTCCTTTGTCCAAGATAGAGCTGGCTAAATTTTTCTTCCCAATTTGTGGGTTTTTTTTTCACTCTGTTGGTGATTTCTTTAGATGTGCAAAAACTTTTCAGTAAGATGAGACCCCAGTTGTTCTTGGAATTATTTCCTGTGCAGTTTCATTTTTCTTCATGAAATCTTTGCCTACCCCTATGTCTTTAAGACTTCCACCTACTTTCTCTACTAGGAGATTTAGTGTTTCTGTTTTAATATTTAGATCTGTGATCCATTTTGACTTTTCAGTTTGGTGCACAGTGATAAGACATAAGTCTAGTTTCAGTCTTTGGCATGTGGCAAACCACTCTTTCCAGCACCATTTATAAAAGAGGTTATCTTTCTTAGAGTGAATGTTTGGCCCCTTTGTCAAAGATAATGCGGCTGAGTGTGTTTGTGGTTGTGGCTGCATCTTCCAGTCTATTCCACTGATCCTTAGGTGTTTTTTTGGCAAATACCATGTTGATTTAATCACAATAGCTTTGTAATATAATTTCAAATCAGGGATTGTGAGGCCACCTGACTTGTCTTTGTTGCCCAGGATTGCTTTTGCTATTCTGGGTCTATTCTGGTTCCAGATGAATTTTATGAATGTATTCTCTAGATCTGTGAGGTATACCAATGGTATTTTAATTGGGATTGCATTGAATCATACAACACTTTCAGGAGTATAGCCATTTTCACAATGTTGGTTCTTCCTATCCATGAGCAAGGAGTATCTTTCCATTTTCTGAAATCCTCCTCCATCTCTTTTTTCAGGGTACTGTAGTTTTAACTGTGTAGATCTTTTACTTCTTTTGTTGGATTGATTCCTAAGTGTTTTAATTGTTTTGGATGATACTGTGAAAGGTATGGTTTCCTTAATTTCCCTCTCAGTGTGCTTGTTGTTTGTGTACATGAATGCTATTGATTTTTGAGTGTTGACTTTGTATCCAGGTACACTACTGAATTTGGTGATTAATTCTAGGAGTCTTCTGATGGAGTTTTTGGGGTCTTCCATGTTGAGTATCACGTCATCTGCGAATAATGATAATTTCACTTCTTTTCTTATTCTTAATTCTTTTATATCTTTCTTATCTAATTGCTCTGGCTAATGTTTCCAGAATTATGTTGAATAGGAGTGGTGACAGTGGACATCCTTGTCTTGTTCCTGATTTTAAAGAGACAGTTTGGCTGGGTGTGGTGGCACACGCCTGTAATCCCAGCACTTAGGAGGCTGTGGCAAGAGGATTGT